GAAATGCAAATGAAAAGCGCTTTGTCACAAAAGCAGTGCTGGGCCTGTTTTGGTTACAATCAGGGACTTTGGAGTATTGCCCTATTACTAGACAGTTACTTAGATCTCACTGGAGGAATGCAGTGTAGTGAAAACCCACTGGGGCAGAATAGGATCCTGGATCAGAATCTGACTTGATGGGCTCTGGGAGTTGGAAATGTACATTCTCTGGTTCTTACTTCCTTTGTGAGAAAAGAGCCTTTGAAATCTAACATTCTTTTTTTTTTTTTTAAGATTTATTTATTTATTATGTATACAGCATGTATGACTGCATGCCAGAAGAGGGCACCAGATCTCATTACAGATGGCTGTGAGCCACCATGTGGTTGCTGGGAATTGAACTCAGGACCTCTGGAAGAATAGTCAGTGCTCTTAACCGCTGAGCCATCTCTCCAGCCCGAAATCTAACATTCTTTTGCATGGGAATTAATAGTTCAGCAATCATGTATAGCTTACCTAGCTTACATTTCTATAACCTAAACATAACATTTAAATACATACAGTTTGCATAACCAATTTTGTGCACATTGAAAGGACACTTTCATTTTGAAGCCCCTTTAAAGTGTTTAGGTAAACCTAAAGACAGAAGTCTTCGGAAGGTAAAATCCAGAAGTTACATGAAAAGAGTGTATGGAAGATTGTTTCAAAGATTTCACTCTCTTTTGCATAAATTGGAGATCTACACAGCAATTAGGAGGTATTTGTAGCCTGTTGAGGGTTAACTGTAGCTTGTCCATGCAGAGGAGAAATCCTGTGGAAGTCTTGTATCTTTATAAATACAAATACTTCCCAGGCAGCTAGCTCCTGGGACACAGGAAGTAAACTGATTTTCCAGTGTCTATTCTTAGTTCAGATGATCAGAGTTGGAAACCGTCTTTAGTTCTCGAGTGTGCAGAAGGGATGCAGCTGTGGGTAGGGAGATGACTTGGCGAGTAAAGTATATGGTTGTGTAGCTCCAGCACTGATGGGAATGGGGGCACAGTGGCCAACCTATCGGTCAACTCCAGGTTCAGGGAGAGACTATCTCAAAAAATACGGTGGAAGATGAAGAAGACATCCAATCTCATCCTCTGCCTTGAACTCACAGATGCACATACATATAACACACAGGATTTGGATGCATCCATATTTGGCTCATAGTATGTATAAATTGCTAGGCCTTTTATTTAAAAAACAAACAAAGGGCTGAAGAGATGAGCACTGGCTGCTCTTCCTGAGGACCCAGGTCAAATTCTCAGCACCGACACTGCAGTTATAACTGTCTATAACTTCAGTTCCAGGGGATCCAGCACCCTTTTCTGGCCTCTGAGGGTACCAGGAATGGTGCACAGATATACGTGCAGGGAAAACACCCCCCCCCACGCACACATAAAAACAACAACAACAATAATAATATGGGGCTGGACAATTAGCACAGTGGTTAATAGCACCCCCTGCTCTGCTGGAGGACCTGGGTTTGATTGCCAGCACCCACATGGATGCTCACAACTGTCTGTAACTCCAGTCCCAGGGCATCCAACCCTCTCTTCTGGCCTCCATAAGCGTCAGGTACACACATGGTGCACAGACAGATATGTAGGCAAACACTCATACACATAATAAAATCAAAATATTTAAATAATAAAATAAATATTAAAAACCTTTCTTTTTCCTGGTACTGGGAATCAAACCTTGGGTCTAATACATGCTAGATACATGCTTTATTGGCTTAGCACACCCCAAGTCCTGATCTTTTAGAAGGCAATTCAGACCCATCAAAAACAACATTCTGGGGCATCTTAAAATCTGAAGTTAGAGGAGTGTCTTAGATGGGATTTTATTGCTGTGAAGAGACACCATGACCATGGCAACTCTTATAAAGGAAAACATTTAATTGGGGCTGGCTTATATATAGTTTCAGAGGTTTAGTCCATTATCATCATGGCAAGAAACATGGTGGCATGCAGGCAGACATGGTGCTGGAGAAGGAACTGAGAGTTCTACATCTTGATTTAAAGGTAGCAGGAGACTGAGCCACACTGGGTGTAACTTGAACATATAAGACCTCAAAGTCCATGCCTACAGAGACATACTTCCTCTAACAAGGCCACAGCTACTCTAACAAAGCCACACCTCCTAAGAGTGCTGCTCCCTATGGGCCAAGTATTCAAATACATGAGTCTATGGGGGCCATTCCTATTCAGACCAGCACAACGGGACAGCTAGCATTTCTTTGTAATTTCTCTACCAATCATTTGCATATATATTATTTAAAACAGAAAAAGAAAGGGTGATGAGGCATTTATTTGTGGTAGCTGACACTGTTCCCGATACATTTAGGTGTATTGTGTCATTAGAATAACACAGAGGGGTACAGATGGGGTGTGTCATTAGAATGATACTGTGGGGTACAGATGAGCTGTGTCTTTAGCTTTGGGAAGCCAGGTTTAGGGGCTGAAGAATTTGCTAAAGCAAAGCTGCAAAGTCATGGTGCCGACTTGGATCTCTCTGATCCTAGAACCAGACTCAGTGAATGACTGCTCTGTCTGATCCAGTTCAGGCGGAAGAGAAGAAACCGCAGGGATGTCCTACAGCAAGATGTAGGGCCGATCCCAACCGTTTTCTACACTCTCTGCTTCTGCCATCTCTGGCCACTGCTCTACCAGAATCTTAGAGTCTTGACTTCCTGCTTCATCCTGGGCAGTCATTTAAACTCCGGAGATCATGTCCTTGTTCTGACTTATTCAT